GTGCAGAATTAAGGATTAAGTATTCTAAACAAAAATCCCTTCAATTGGATTTTTACATCCTATACAGATCAACCTTTGAAGCATCTTTTGATTCACTTTCAGCTTCCTCTCCTATTTTAGAGTTTTCATTATTATAGCGAATCTGAACCCTGTAAACCTAGAGTTATTAATCTAAGGTTATTATTGTTTTAATCATTTGCATAACTTGGTTTAAACTATAGTTTATAGTATCAGTCAGAGGAAAATTAAATAAAAGCAACCCCCCAAAAATGATGTCATTCAGCTCAGCAGAGGCCTGGTAACGAGTTGCTCATTAAATCCAGGTGTGTTGTGGAAGAGATGCATTTAAATGGGAGGGATGGCAGCTCTCGAGGACTGGACTTAGATACTACTGTATTAGATGTTGTAGCAGAGCAATGAAATTTGTTTCATTGAAAAAAAAAAAATCTTTTGTGTTATTCCAGGTCAGAGACGGGGCAATGTCTGACCTGCAAACGCAGTTGAGAGAAGTTCTTAGAGAAAACGAACTGCTGCGTAGAGAAGTAAGCCTGCATTTCTATTTTTATTGTTATTTTTTTAATGTTCACTTTACGTTCACCTCCTGTGAAACATTCTATTGTCTTATCTGATGACAACTGAGATTATTATTGAAATCTTTTGTTGGAAATGAGCGCCCAGATTAATTTAATGGATGTTTTTTGTTGTTTTTATGCAGCTGGATTCCAAAGAGTCCAAATTGAGCTCCTCTATGAACTCCATAAAGACATTCTGGAGTCCAGAGCTGAAGAAAGAGAGAGCGGTGAGAAAAGATGAAGCAACAAAGATGGCTGTGTGGAAGGAACAGTACAGGGTGGTGCAGGAGGAGACGCAGGTAGGAATATAAACCTGTTTTTGTGACTGTTTTCTGTCTTTATAGAAAAATAAAGGAAAAGCAACATTACTTAATAACATACAGACATTTGCATTATATTAAACAGAGAACATAGAACAACAGGAAGCCTTTATTCAAGCCTGTATGAGTGAGTAGGACCGTTTCAGATATAAGCCTAAACTACAAGATGGAGACGGTGGCAGAAATCAAAAGGCTAATTTGATGAGCTGAAAAACCATTAAATGGGATAGAAATTCATTATTTCCAACCTAACTGGAACCCATGCTCTCAGGTAATGTACAAGTAAAAATAAAGGCATGAGGTCTTTTTTTAGCGCTGCAACTAACGATTGTTTTGCAAATCGATTTATCTGTCGATTATTATTCTGATAGCAAAAGGCAAGGCAAGGCAAATTTATTTGTATAGCTCAATTCAGTACAAAGACAATGCAAAGTGCTTTACATGATTAAAATATAGGAAAATAAAACAGAATCAAAGCAAGTAGGAAAAAACAAAAAATAAATAAATAGATAAATAAATAAAATAAAAAATGCAGAAACAAAAAATAACATTAAAAACATTAAAAAGTTGAAGTAATGATGTTTCAGTTGAACTGTTTAACTAGAACAGTCGAAGACCATCCTAAGCAAATGTGTGTTTACACAAGGTACAAAAGGTTCCTTGAAGATTTTTTTACGAAATTAAACCAGATGAAACTAAAACTTTTCCTCTTGAGGAGTTCTGGGTAGAGAATATTGATTGACAAAATATTTTGAATGCAAAATGTTTGTATAATTTGTACAATCTTGGTATAATTACTGCTCTAAGTGGGTTGCTTTGTCAGTTAAAGGCCTATTTTATAGTCTAAACTATATACCCCAGTTAAAGATTAATCTATTACTAAATTAGTTGACAATTATTTCAATAACCAGTTAATCACAATTAATCAGATTAATTGTTTCAGCCCTAGTTTTTTGTATCAGTGGTGTGATTAGACCTCATCAACGTGTATTTATTAGAGATGTGTGGCTATTACACCTTATATTACACCTTTAATCAGTTATATTGTTCCAATCTCCTTGTAATTTCTTTTCACTGAAAGGGTTCAAGTTTTGACGATTTTGCTTTTTGCCTGCATTGTTGCTTAACAGCAGATTGGAGTTTTGTAGAAAGTCAGTCATAGTGTACCTTTGATGACGCTTTATCAAGACTCAGAAGACCAACAGAAAGTCGTTCAAATTGTGAAGTGAAATCTAAAAAGTGCAGCATGCATTTAGCCCACCTTAATGAACACTTTGCAGGTATTTACCAGGTCTCTACCAGCTCTAAAATACTAGAGATTGCCGCGGCTTCTCACCTGGATTCTACCTGGGCCATTCTAACACTTAAATATGCTCTATCTATCTAGGCTTATCTTACCAGCCTTCCCATTTCTTCTACAGAAAAAAATCCCCAGAGCATGATACTGCAGCTAACATTTTTCAGTGTACGGATTGTTTGCAAAGTGGTGTGCATTTTTCTTTATTTTAAAATTTTGCTGCACAAAGTTCAAGTTAAGTAACTTTCAGGTTTAATGAGGGGAACACAAAGGTGAAGCTCTTTGCTTGAACAGGAAACGATAACAAGGCAACAATGATGATGCAGACAGGAGATGAATAATGAGGTAAACAGGGCTTGGAACGGAGAGTAAAACGCTGCCCTGAGAGCTCTGGTTAACAGATGTAATGTTGAAAGGAAGGATTTGAGGATGAGGATGTGCAGGAGAGATGGACAATCCAAACAGAAACGGTTCAAATTAAGATGACTGATAATAATACAAATCATAGTAATTATAAAAAAAGATTATAAATCAATAAACAGAGAAAAAAATCTGCCTTTAATTAGGACAGCTGACTTAGATTTATTTTTTATAACAATAAAAGTAGGGGTGCAACTAATGATTATTTTGCAAATCGATTAATCTGTTGATTATTTTTTTTCAATTAATCGATTAAAAGGTTTTACTAAATTAAACCATGTGAAACTAAATATTTTCTACCTGAGGAGTTCTGGATAGAGAATACTGATAGACGAAAAAAATTTTTTTTTTATCTTTAATGCAAAATTTTTACATATTTTTTTTTACAATTTCGGTATACCGTAATTCCTGCTCTAAGTGGGTCGCTCTGTCCGCTATAGAGATGTTTTACAGTCTCTATACTCCAGTTTAATTAATCCATTACTAAATTAGTAGACGATTATTTCAATAATCGGATTAATCCGTTTAATTGTTTCAGCCCTAAATAAGAGTAAACAAATAGGTGCAGTAAATTCAATCATTTAGAAATACAAGTAAATCAAACTACAAGTGTTAAATTGATTTATAAATTGATAAATTGATTCATACAGTTCAGACTGGTTTCTGAATACATCAGGGCTCATCTTCTTCAATGTTTCTCTATATGGCTAATAGCAATCAGAATTTCCTTTTTCTTTTCTTTCTTCTCCGAGTTTAAGAAAAAATAAAATGCTCTCCTTTAGGTTCAGAATGATGTGGGATTATTGCATTAATTTGTCAGGATTATCCCCCTACAAATGAAAGTTAGAGATAACAGATTGAAAATGATTTTAGCGTGATCCAGTGTCAGCCTGCCGCCACGGCTGCAGGCAGGGCTTATTTAAATGGACGGTGTTGGTGGATTTGTCTCACTGCTGTGAGTGAGGAGCCACAGATGAGGCAGCGCGGCCTGGTTTGGGGACTCCCAGCTGTCTGTTGGTGCTGCAGCCATCTGGATGAGACAGAGACTCTGCATGTCTGGCAGCAGGCTGAAATATTATACAAGAGATGACATGCACACACGCTCGCTGCAGCCACAGCGCCTCGTTTCTCACATCATCACTGGGAATCCACTTCAGAAAGCTTTCTTTAGACCTTTCAACATATTGCTTTTTTAGTTGCTTAGTGGCATGTGTATCTAACATTCATGTTCATTTATTTCATGTATAGTACTAGTAGGAATGCATTTCCATTTGTATGATATGTAGATGTTTCTTGCAAATGCATTGAGTTAGAGTGAAGCCTTCAGTGAAGATGATCAGATGCACAAATCGTTAATGAATTAAGTCTCACATAGGAGCTGATAGTGCTGCCCTCAAATGCAGACTCTTTTCCCTCTGGATGTTTATTCTGTGCTTTAACAGAGAATAATCGCACATGTTGCAACAATTAAGAAATATTCTCTCTGGAGAGTTTTCTATTTCTTGCTTTCACCTTTTTCTTCATTATTTCCACTTTCCAGGCTTGAACCTTCTCTTCGTTTAGCGCCGGCTCTCCTTTCTCTGTCCTCCCCACTCAGTCGTTGCCGTCATCTTGGTGTTAGAAATAGGATTAAATTACCTTCCAGAAATTTTAATAAATATGAGTCCAGACACATAAAAGCCAACTTACTCCCCCGCTGAGGAGGACTCTTCTCTTCTTCACCCTCTGCCTTTTTTCCTCCCTCCACATTTCTCTACTTCCACCTCCTCCTTCATGTCTGACTCATTATCTTCTTCTCTTTTCCTCCAGCTTCTCTTTATCTTTTTCTTCTTTTATCAATTCTCTCTTTTGCCCTTTTTTGCATAAATTTAAAAAGCAGACTGGACATTTTTAATCTCACATTTACTTGGTCTCTATAATATCCTGTAAAATATTCACACTCAACTATGCTGATTAATTACGTCAAAGTTCCCTATTCATTTTTGGTACAAATGACTAAAAGTTGTAAAAGTAAATCCTAAGCTAAATATTTATTAAAAATCCAACTATTAATTTAAAGAAATGTATTAAACATATATTTTTTTCTGAAAATTAATGTCGTTGCAAATTAATACCTTTACTGGAAAGACTTTTTCCCAGCAGCACTTTGTCTTCTCCTATAACATTTCACCAGGTTGCAATGCCCTGCTCTTTAGCTTGCCCCACAGATTTATATAAGTTGACATTTTAGGGATTCCCGCAGAAGAAGGCCTGTGTTCGTCTTCATCTGTCCATAGTTGTTCATCATTGTTCATCTGGAAGATCCAGTATCCAGTGTCTGGTGTGTCTGGGCACAATGCCACTCTTACAAGTTTCCTAGGAGCTGTATAAGATGATCAGCCCACAGCCTGCCAGACCCTACACCTTACTTAACAGTAAACAGCAGGGCTTTTACAGCTGTGCTTTGTTTTTAAGCTTGTCATGTTGGTGTGTTAGTGGCCTAAAAGATAGAATTGCTAGAATTTAGCAATGTCAACATGTTTATGTATGTGATGGTAGGACAGATGCTGTCCTGGTATCCCTCCTGATTTCTCTCTTTTTGTTTTTTTTTATTTAAGTATGAAAGCTATACCTCGGTGAAACAGTTAGCAAGTTGGCCAATCAGCTAGTTCTTATTGTTAGTTCCTTTGCCTGATGTAAATACAGAAAAAAAAACATATCCAGTGTTGGCATTAATCTTTATAATTCATAATAAGACCTGTTAGACCATAAAATACCTAGTTTGTTAAATATATTAGTAATTTATACTTCTCCATTAATTGTTGGCATCTTCATTGAGACTCATAAGGTTTGGAGAAAAGAATAGGAAGTTATTGACGCCCTATATAGATATAATAGCTTATAATATAAATAATGATAATACAGTTAAGCTTTTTAATGGTCAGCTTTGATTGAAAATAAACAGAAAGACAAAGCATTACACGTGTATCTGTACATACACTGCAAGCATGTTTCTATATCCTCGTGGGGACTTTCTATTGACTTCCATTCATTGCTAACCTTTTTCTACAGCCTAACCGTGACCCTAATCCTAACCTTAAAGGAGAAGTTCGGTTTTTTACACTTTAAGCCCATTTTCTGTAGTGTCCAGGATGAAATCGAATGATCGACACCAAAAGTTTGACAATTGCTCCTGTCTCTGCTTTTTGGCTCATTTAGAATCAACCCCTGGCTGCTTTAGAATGGCTAGCATAGAGCATGTCCGATAATGTCCTTAAAACAA